TCTTTTACGGACTTAGCATTGCAGTACACATTATATAATGTGTTATCCAGTCCATTAAGTACATCATTTCTGCACAAAAAATCAGAATGCTTCTATGCATCAACCGCAGCCAATTTTTCAGCATCACTGTCGTGCTCAATATATGAAGGCGCGTCTTCTTTGAGAAATTTAGCCAGATTTAATGTTGTCAGATAAAAAAATAATTTTTTGTTGTCAACACTTGAAATCTGACCCATTAAACTTTTCTGGTTTTTCCCCTGTCGTATTCAGGAGTGTGGTACCAAAAGTTGTCATTTCTGAAACACAATCAGAAGATCAACGGTAAGAAGGAGTAGAAAGAGAAACAAAATAATAATAGAAATTCGTTTTAAGATTGTTGTTTCTAGAGTTTGATGTTACTCCTTCAAAACCAATCCGATAGAATCACCTGAATGTAAGAAATGATCAACAGGATCCAAAATGTAATTCGAGCCCGCCAACTTCACGATATTTCCTTAAAACAAATTTGCTGCCTTCAATGGTGCTAAAGGCGTCCAGCAATCGTTTTTCAGGATAGAACGAATTTTTATTTCCAACGGAAGCAGCACTGCAATTTGCAGGAGTTTCAACGAACTTAACGAAGTGTGTTTTATTTCAAGACAATATCAAAACGAGAGAGAGGGGAATGAGATTCAAAGCACAGAAAGTTTATAATGAAAATGGTGTAAATTTTCTGGTAGAGAGGCAGGCTATTTATAGATTTGTTCGTGGCCATTCGAACAGTCATTACCTTTCAAACAAACGTCAACACCCCGAATAGACATGTTGTTCTAAAAGTCGCGTCTGTTAAGTCGGTTAACAGTAATTTTGTCCAAAAGGTTAATATAGTGCAAAGGTCCACCCGCACCCAGACACGGGCACGTGCTCGTGCCGTGCCGAGCCGATTGATCGGACGGATAGCGGCGCATGCGTGTGGGTTTATGACCGAACCCAATAGAATATAGGTCTTCCCCCTTCCAAAGACTATTGGTACTTCTTGGGGCCCAAACCCAATTCTAAATTTCTACCTTATAAACCACACCAAAGTTTCTTAACTTTTCTATGTGGGATAAGTGTTTGGAAAATCAAATTCTTCCATAATACTTAGTTTATGCGGGTTACTTTAACACTTAATATTTCATTCAATTTTAAATGATTTTCGACAAATAAATATATCACGTTAATGATCTCGTGGAGTAGAACGTGAATATGCTAGGTCCTGTATTAATTAAAAGGTGGGTCCTACTGAAATTTGGGCTCAAAGTTGACCCATTTCATAACCATTTTTCCAACATAGATAAATGATAGAGAATTCTTCAATATCAATGGGTTTTTTTTTCGAGCTATTGAACCATCACCGTTTTCCAATTTTCCCCCAAAATGTCCAAGAAAGTAAAGGTGAAAAGAAAAAGAAAAAACCAAAAGAAAAGAAAAGAAAAAGGATGAAGAAATCGGCTGCCCAAAAAATGGAAAAAGAAAGTCCGCCTCTCCAACTGAAATCTTGCTTTTAAATAAAATCTGAGGAAAAATTGCAGCTTGGTCCCTGGAATTTAGAGAAATAAAACAAAAGCACCCGAGTGGCGCCCAGTTTTCTGCCCAAATTTTTTTTTTAATTGAAATCGACTGCGTCTGCAAGCTTCCTCTTCGTTTCTCTTTATCTTTTTTCATCTTTTCTGTAATAAATTCCTTCAAATCATCACTTAACGTCGGGTTTTCACCTACACAATAAAAATAACTGATTAAGTAATAAATCACTAATGAAACTCACAAATATCTATGTTTAATGGCCCAAATAAGTGCAAAAACTCACACTTATCATGAACAAATGCAAAATTTGACTACATTTTGACACCATGATCAATATATAGTTCACATGATAATGACCAACACTAACTATACTAGACTTCATTAGCTACAAACAAATTTAAAAAATAAAATTCCGTTATATTTCAATTATGAGATATGATACTTAATATATTGGTTAATTTAACTTGTACAAGTCTTCTAACATGTCTTGAAATATGATCAACTAATTTTGGGGTGAAATCAAGGCCCCATGACCTAAAATGGCATGTTGTCATTCAATTAATTTCGTGTCCATCTCACTTTATATTGTCTCGTATCCACAAAAATTGAACAAATGCTAGTTCTCACTATATTTGGACACCATGGTCAATACAAAGTTCATGACACAGTGACCAAGATTATTGTTTTGTGAGTAAATTACCCTAGATTTCACTACCAACTAAGATAAGTCTTGTATTTCAAGTATGAAATAAAATACTCAACGCATTAGCTCACTTATCTAGTACAAGTCTTCTAAGATATTTCAAAATATGATCAACAAATTTTGGAGTGAAATCAAGACATCGTTACCCAAAACTGCATGTTGTCAACCCAAAACAGCATGCTACCATTTTAAACGGTTGAGTGTCATTTTAACTAATTTTGTTCCCTTTTCACTTTATGTTGTCTTGTATCCACGTGAAAATGAACAAGTTAAGCCCATTTTGACAACCATTAATGATTTTATTTTTTTATTTTTTTTGGAAAAAAATGAGTTTCTGAATTGTGATTATTTTAAATATATGGTTAAAAAGTTGGAAAAATTTTGAGTGTATGTGCAAAAAAAAAAAAAAATTTAAATGACCGTGGGTGTCAGGACCAACTTACGTGCACCTCGACTAATTCCACGGGATCCTGGATTTTACAATCGGATATTTACCTCAGTGGCCCTGAGGGGCTCGAACTGATGGCTATTAAGGAGCAAACAGAATGTCTGACCATTGACTTACCCCTAAAAATTTATCTACAAAATATTTTATTGTAAGAATGTGTGGTTAAAAATAAGTTTGAGAAAAAAAGAGTTTTGTTTTAATGGTTGTCAAACAAGAGGTAAGTTTTTACTATATTTGGACACCATAGTCAATAAAAAGTTCACAAGATAGTTACTAACACTATTGTTTTGCGAGTAAACTACATTAGATTTTACTTCACGTGAAAGTAAGTAATTCAAATTTCATTTCATTATAATTATGAAATAAGGAACTCGATAAATTAGCTCATTTAACTTGTACAATTCTTTTAAGATGTTTCAAATATGATCGATTAGTTTTAGAGGGAAATTGATACCACATGACCCAAAAGTAGTATGATGTCATTTCAACTGATTTCGTTTCTATTTTATTTTATATAGTCTCGTATCCACATGAAAATGAATGAATATGAGTTTTCATTATATCTGGATAACATGGTCGATACAAAGTTTACGTGATAATGATCAACATTATTATTCACTGAGAACAAACGTAAATTTTTAAATTTCATTTCACTCCAATTATGAGATAATATACTTAACAATTTAGTTCATTTAAATTGTACAAGTCTTTTATGATGTTTTAAAATATGATTGACAGTTTTGGAGTGAAATTAAGACATGTGACCCAAAATGACATACTGCCGTTTAAACTATTTTTTTTGTGTGCATTTCACTTTATGTTGTCCCATTTACGTATGAAAATGAATGAATTTTTACTACATTTGAACATCACGGTTGATACAAAATTTACGGATAATGATCAACATTGTTGTTCCGTGAGTGTTTATACTAAGTTTCATTATGAACGAATGCAAGTAACTCAAATTTCATTATATTCCAATTATGAAATAAGATGCTCAACAAATTAGCTCATTTAACTTGCACAAGTCTTCTAAGATGTATCACAATATGATCGACTTGTTTAGAAGTGATATTGAAACTTAGCGACCCAAAACTGCATGTTGCCATTTTAGACGACTGTGTGTCATTTCAACTAAGTTATTGTCCTTGTAACTTTATGTTCTATCTATACGAAAATGATGGAGACGAGTTTTCACTCCATTTGAAGTGAAATTGAGATCTTATGATCCAAAATGACATACTATTTAGAAATTATACTTCCCATTTTTAAACATTAGGATGTCGTTTTCACCAATTCCACGTTCACTTGTCTGTATGTCCGCTCGTATGATCTTAGAATCAATAAAAATTACATTCATACTACATTAGGACTTCATGCTTGATCGAAAGCAAACGGAATTAATTCAAATTTCTACTAAAGTCTTAACCACGAGATAATGGAATGCAATATCTCACAAGATAATGAAATAAAATGTAGAAAACATAACAGATGAAATGTTCATCTGGGATCAAAGAACTTCTTTGTCCGTGTCGATTTTCATTAACACAGTTGTAATTCTATACGAACTCGACCTACAATTATAACATATTTTCCCTCAATGTCATCACATGTCATCAAAACATAGATGAGAGCTCATGCTCCAACTTAAAACTAAATTGGCAAGTAGCAGTATATTACAAATCATTTGTGGCCAATCCTACTTCTTTTGATGGTCATGTACCTGTTTTGTATTTAAGAAAAGCATATATCTGCATACTTTAGTCTGAAATTTAATTGATTTTGACTTTTTTGGCCACTCGTACTTCTTTTGATGGTCATGCAAGAGGTACTAAAATAAAGATTTCGTAGACTTTATTAACTAGGCCGTTTACGACAATTTAATAAACCCACTTACTTTAAACTCCACGAAAATTCTCATTACAAGGCATTGGTGAAACCAAACTTCAAAAAGTGAAATTCAAGTTGTAACGATCCAGTCTTTGCACCCAAATCATTATATCATACAAATTGTCCACTTTGAAATGGTATCCACTCATCTTATCTTTAGCAACTTCCTATCACATTTTCTAGAATTCGTACGCAAAACATCTATCTTATAAGAAACCCAAGTCGTTAGGGGTAGGATAAATATCCTCTCAAAGTAGACAATACATATGATATATTTGTTTGAGCATAGAGATCGAATCGCTACAAAAGATTTGTTCAAAGCTTCAGATGACCAGACGTAATAAGAAAGAATATGCTATACTTGAAGAGCTTGAAACATGTAATTAGTTGGATTCCATTATCACACTCTTGCCATCTCCTTGGAAAAATATATTATACAAAATAAGCATTCTTACATGGATATAATAAGATACATCATTGTTTAATATAACAAACTGGATATTCAAACAAGTTGATTATGTCAGTTTACTACACTAAATATTATGAATCAAGGCAGCCAAAAATTTGATCTAATGGCATTTCCATGTAAATTGGCTCACCCTGGTCATTAATTCAGCGCTCGTTTCTTTATTTTGGGATAAACATATAGAACCAACCGGGCATGAAGGTTTCACATGGTTTCATCAGTTCTCCTAGGATAAATTCTCAAACATGGGTTCGATTCACCTTTCCACAGGTTCCTTTGCACCACTCTCTGATGGAACATCTTTAGCAGATTTACTGAAATCCCCATTGGCAGCTTCTGTCGACCTAGCAGCATCATGTTCAGCAGCCCCTGTCGCTTGATCTTTGGTTTCGCCATCACTTGCCGGCTCAGTTCTCTTAATAGTTCCTACCTGAACATATTTGGTGATGAACTTGTATTCCCAATCCTGTAAGGCATCGAGCTCAAAAAAGCCTAGACCGGTTAGATCACCGTTGAGATCTTTTTCATCGAAAGACAGCTTTGCTAGAGCTCGACTAGCATCCTTCCCTGCAAACAAGGCATAAGGTCCACCGGGACCATAAAACATCCTGCGAACAACAAATGAGCTGAGTACTGAATCTCAGTTGTACTTGTTACAAATGTTGTATAAAAATGAGTCCTTTCTACCAAACAAGCCACAGATGTGGAAGAATTTATCTAGACTTATTACAAAATCGAGAAATTATACACATGGAAAAACGTTAAAGCCAGCTTAGTTCTATTGATTATGTCTGTTCCTAACAGTTCGACTTTACTTTGAGGTGTTTTCCACAGAACAAACTTGGAGCAAAATAGGGACAATGTCGAGCAAGGAAACTTGCCTAGTTTATTTGATTATTTTCAGTATGTAGAAGCAATAATTGGAAACACACGGCATTCATATTCATGTATTTCCATGAAGTGAAGTTTTTAAGATTTAAATTGTTGTCATAAGATAAAACTGGAGACACTCCCTATTTACTACGGCGACGAAGAATCAAATTATCACTATATTGATTCCTTTTTCCGTTTTTGAGGTTTCTTTCCATTTCTTAGTAAGAATGGGTGATGGTATTCTACCTAAATAGTAGACACAGGTAAAAAATAAGAGAATACTAAATATCCGAGCCATAGAATAGCAGATTTTTTTTTTTTTTCTTTCTAAAGTGGAGATATTCGCACGTAATGACAGATCACGGCCATATTATTAAAAGCTTGGACACTAAGCCACTATTTGATGGCCATTATTTAGAGAAAAATGATGTTTTTAATAGAAATTTTCGGAGGATGTGTGGTTAAAAGTAGGAAAAGTTTTGAGTTTACTTGCAAAATATTTTATTTCGTAAATGTGTGCGATTGAAAATGAGTATGAGAATTAAAGAGTTTTGTTTAAAGAGTGACAAACAGGGGCCAAGTAAAGAATGATCTGTCCAGACATCAAGATTGGAAAAATGAACGTTTTAATGTGATTGTCTTAATGATGTAATCAACACTTGATAACTTACCACAGTATACCTATATAATTAACTCCTTATGGCTGATAGACATCACAGTTTAATATATAATCACAAATTTGCATCATTCAAGTACAGAAAACCAGAGAAGAATAAAAAATAAATAAGGCACTTTGGGATTATAGCTGTGAAGATGACTTCAAATCCTTAATTACAAACCAAAATTCTCCATGAAAAGCTCCAGAAATAAAAAAGCTGATGCTAGCATGTTACTGTGTTATTGTTGTGTTAAAACAGATACGAAAAAATTGGGTGACATTATTCCAAAAAATCACATTTACAATGGTTATACAATGAAACTTCAGCATATAAATCCCGATTCTGTATATATTTCAAAAATCAATAGCTATAACCAATATCAAACCAGGAAATCCTTACAAAAATTATAGTAACTTCATATCATGCAAATGCAAAATGTGTTGCAAAGCCAATATACAAAAACATCATTTTACTCTTTGAGTAGAATACATTTCTCAAGTAAATGAATATTCTTTAAATACAAATTTGGTATGCACTATTATTTCTTCTTTAACTCCATTGCTTACTATCCAATCCCATGTCATATGCAGATAAGGATTAAGCAAGAAAACCCATTGAAATTCCACTGTTCGAAATTCAAACAATTGTCAAAATCAACGTGAAAATATGCAAAATTCTTCAATCCCACTGAAACTTTAGATTCAAAATCATAACTGGACAACATCAATGTCAAAAATCCCAACAGCTCAGAACATGTAAACAACAGAAAATTCAAGTATATAACACAGGAAAATGCACAAGAATACAGTAGTGGTATATACGTTACCTGCTTTGCGAAACATCGTAGATCTGACCCTTGATAGCCATGAGCAACGGCTTCTCAGAATCAGACCCATCATACTGTTTCAACTCCTCTTCAGTGATTTCTCCGAGCTGAACAGGAGGGCGCAGAGGCCGCATTTTCTCATCTGACGTTTGCTGGAAGTGGGCATCGTCATATGACCCGAAGCTGAAGAGACTTGAGAATGCGTAGTATAGAACAAGGCCCACAGCAACAACTGTAAAGAAAGTAGCCGGAGAGAGATCTGTTATCGATTCTCTTAAGGTTTCCCAAAGTTGAACAGACATTGTTTCACAGGGCGAGAGTGGAACGAGGACGAAGATAAGAATGAAATTAATGGACATATATAACATGTTCGTTTCCATTAAAATAAAACTCATTTAACTCTCTATTTAATTTTAATAATACATCCGTTCAACAAAATATTTTATACGTAAATCTAAAAAAAAAAAAAATTTTAATAATACATCTTTTAAAAAATTACTCATCAAAATATTTTTTTTCCCGATAATTACAATAAAACAGAGCTTAATATATTAACTTTGGACATTGCTACATAAACATTGGGGGCAACATAAGGGTGTCCATTATGGACACCCGACGCCTCGACATTGGCCGAGGCGTTTGCCGCGCAGGGGTCCACAGGCGCCTCAATCAATGGAGAGGTGTCGAGTGTCCATTATGGACACCCGAATGTAGCCCCAATGTACAACAAGCATTATTCATTAACTTTTTGTATTATTTGTCTTATTTTGAGTATAAAAAATTAGATTCCATTGGGCATTTATAAGATAGATATTTCTTTTTTCTTTTTGTTAGGAAATGTATGTGGACTGCATTCACTATTAATCACGATCCCATCAAGAATGGGAGAAGTGGTTCGCTGGCTTGCTTGAATTGGCTCACATTTGAATTGCATGTTAGCTAGCCCAAAGTGCAATTTTGCCAAAAAAAAAAAAGAAAAAGAAAAAAAGAAAAGAAAAGGATAAATAAATAATGAGTTGCGAGTTGTTCATTAGTTGACCCAGCTCGTTCCACCACACCAAAGAGCAAGCTTGTGAGATTAGGCAAGGCGAGTCGAGCTCAATTTTCTTGAGGTGAACCAACTAGGCTGACTAGTCGAATCTAGTCAAGTCAAGTTCGATGGTAGGCAATTTAATATCCGTAGTTGAGAAATCAATATGGGGAGAAAATGATTTATTGATATTCACTTTATCTAATACATGTATGGTGTAGGAATTTCAAATCAAAGTCAACATATAATTTTAATCATTCATTTCGTAGGATCTATAATTGTTCAAACCAAAAATGTTGTTTGTATAGCATTTATATGCTATAAATTTTTACAATCTTTTCACAAAGGTGGGGCTCGCGATTAAAATAATCGCGGACCCTACCCCTATATATGAGAGGACTGTCAAAATTACTATATATTATGCGGTACATGCAGCAGCCCTCTTGTTCAAACACATGTTTTATTGAATTTTTTCAAAATGTATTAAAAATTAAATTATAATCTCCACCAAATCTTACGTAGGCCAAACCAATTATGAATGGAGAAAATGTAACCATATCCAATGGTACGGAGGCACGAGCTTCGCGAGAACGAGTAAAATAATGGTTAATGAATAGGTGGTCTTCAATTTTTCTTTCTGTTTATGTCAATTTTCTAATTGTTTTTCCAACCAAATTAAAAACGTGCTCAAGAAATAGGTGGTCTGCAATTTTTTATTTTTATTTATTTATTCTTCTTTAATAGGGACTTCACTCCTATAGGGTCGACATGTCAATATTCGGATATTTAAAAGCATTTATTCGATATAGGAATGATGAATATTGTATGAGTAACGTTTTTTATTATTATTGGTGTTAAATATTTATTTAGGTGACAACACATGATGGATCCAATTAAATAAATATTATTAAAACACATTTAATTAGATTTATCAATTATCATATAATGCTATTTACAAGTACTGATTTTCATTACCATTGACATTAAATAGCATTATTTATTTTATATCTAACAAAATTAATACCAATTGATTTCAACGTCCATCTTGAATTACCATTTTCGACCCATTAGCGGAGAATTTATAAATAAATAGAAATTAGCAGTGAATAGTACTTATGAGTAAATTGAAATGTGATTTAAATAAAAAGGACCCAATTTGAGCTGCATTCTAAAAAATTTTAAAAATAAAAAACCTCATTTTTCCAACCATACATTTTTTCCAATAAAATAAGCATGACAATTTTGCTGTTGCATACCATTCTCAATGCATGAACCACATGCTGGTGGGAGGAGACGAGGTTTTTTTTATTTTTTTTTTTATTTTTTTTTTAATCCAAACATAAAACAATGCAAACATTAAGCAACAAAAGAAAGGCTTTTAATCACACTCAAGAAATTGGACCATTGCACATACTCTAAAGATTCGACAAAGAGACAAATAAATGAATGTCAATCAAAGTATTCAAAAACCAGCAGAACAACTCAAATCTGAAATCCCCTTAGTAAATTAAGCATTAGCAGGTAACAAAAATGTTACACCTTTTCCAGTCTCCAAAGGATGACTTCTATTTGTCATTAATCTACACAGATCTTATTTAGAATTCTAGAAGAAGTAGAAAATTGCATGAGAAGAGGATCAAAACAACACTTCTAACCATTTCCAAACAACTTATTCAAATTGCAAGAGATTTCACTTCATCTACTTTCCAGAAATCTGCTTCATACTTGTACCACCTCATCAGTCCTTCGTCTTGCCTAGTGCGCTTGCATGTGATGCACGAGTCGTTCATGCACGTAATAAATTTCCGCAGCCTCTTAGCCTTTTTAAGAATTGATTCGTCAAGCTCCCCGAGAACTCTTCGAGGTAAAGTTGGAGGACTATCAATAAGTACGCAGTGAGAGATGTTCAGTACTTCCAACTTCTTCAAGTCATCCAAGATAATGTTAAGGGCATCCTTAAATATGATAGAGCACCGAATGCTCAAGACTTTTAAGTTCGGGAGGAATGCCGCAAGTGTCGATGCAAAGAAAATGTGACATGGGCCCATGATCTTCAGTTCAGCAAAATTCTTGCAATTTTTGCCTATTTCCTCGATTAGATATGGAGGGTTCGAAATGCTAGGCATTGTCAATGACTCGAGGTCTTTCCACGCACAAATAGCTTTACATATTCCAGTCTTCTTTATTCTGTTCCACGCAGGCATAACTAGACGCTTCAGACGTGGGCATCTGCAGTATAGATAGGTTGACATCATCATCCAACTACAGAATTAGAATAATTGATCAACTAGCAATAAGTGCTCAATACTGGATTCTATAAGAAACAAGATTTGTAGCTTCTTTTTCTTCTTTAATAGTCCAGTGCAATAGAAATGTACACAACTACAAAGAAGAAACTAAGTACATCAAAAGAGAGGATTTCTCTGGACATACCTCTCTGCAGTATAAGTCAATTGATCGTCACTGACAAATAGGTTATAATGGAAAATCAAGGTTGTTATGTTTCCATGGCTGAGGCTCAAAGAAATCTTCAAGACTCGGGTCAGCGTTTTATCAGACGGTCCATCCACGTATACATACGGTTCTGACGGGGTTTTAATGAAGTTTGACTTTAGCATTGATAAATCAAGAGTCTTCCAGATTAAAGGATCACAAGCTGCCAAACGCCATGTGCTACAAACCTTGCTACAAACCTGACCAATCCCAGAGGTCAACCCAAAGATGTCAAAACACTGGAATATCTTGACCAGAACATCGTGATCCATTTCCTCCCATTTTCTTGAATGGGAGCCTATATCCTCCTTTTCCATAGCTTGTGGAATTACTCCAAAAAAATTTGAGGACATCACTGCACCCACAAAGAAAGCCAAAAAGATGATGGTATGAAGAGTCAATGAACCAGCATCAACGAATTGGTGGTGAAAATTGTTATCACCAATAAGTAAAACAAATTGCAGTTTTTGTGCCAACCCAAACTTTATAAAGGAGTAAGTTAGTTCACAACCTTCAGTACTATTGTTCCATCTTTATATAAACCATCCAAAAAACCATTATAAGTTATTTTTTTACTTAAAGGATGGTCATACACTTATTTGCATTTAAAATAAAAGAAATAGAAAAGAAAAGACAGACAAAAAAAGAAAAAGAAAACACTTATCCCTGCCAATCCACCCTCGCTACCCTAACCCGCTCCAATTCTCACCAACCCCAACCACAAAGAAAGGTGGGGAAGGGGGGGCGGACATGCTGTAACCAGCGGCTTCTGCTGCCCCCACCACTAGCCCGTAAGCCACACTCCCACCGGATTAGTGCCCTTTAGCACTACATTTTCAACCAAGTTTTACAATTTGAGGTTGTTACACCAATTTAAGAAATGCAAGAATTTATATTGCCATTAATACCACAATCAGATTATGATTCGTAGGTATGCATACTCTATCGGGTCTCTGATTAACATAATGACAAGAAACTTGAGCAATATTAAGGCATCGGGTCATAATTACCATTATAGGGTTCCACCCGACTTTCCATAACCAGTAGTGACAGAGAAGTGTGAAATTCTCTTCTAGAGTAGATGGTAAGCACCACAAAATCATCTTATATTTAGCCACCAATTGTGAAGACATTTGTGTGTGTATATATGGCATTCATGAACAGGGCATCAAAATCACAAAACCAGGGTAGAAATAGAAAATCAGTAAGTTCAGCACTACAACTCTTTTACGTGCCCCCACCACTAGCCCGTAAGCCACACTCCCACCGGATTAGTGCCCTTTAGCACTACATTTTCAACCAAGTTTTACAATTTGAGGTTGTTACACCAATTTAAGAAATGCAAGAATTTATATTGCCATTAATACCACAATCAGATTATGATTCGTAGGTATGCATACTCTATCGGGTCTCTGATTAACATAATGACAAGAAACTTGAGCAATATTAAGGCATCGGGTCATAATTACCATTATAGGGTTCCACCCGACTTTCCATAACCAGTAGTGACAGAGAAGTGTGAAATTCTCTTCTAGAGTAGATGGTAAGCACCGCAAAATCATCTTATATTTAGCCACCAATTGTGAAGACATTTGTGTGTGTATATATGGCATTCATGAACAGGGCATCAAAATCACAAAACCAGGGTAGAAATAGAAAATCAGTAAGTTCAGCACTACAACTCTTTTACGTACTCTAGTTAACTAACAGGAATATTGAGCGAAATCCGCACTGAAATTTAAGAGGGAAGAGATCAACAAGACAAAGGATGATAAAAGTAGAGTAATGCCTATAATTACTACATTGTAGAGAAATAGATCATACCTACTATTCATACTACTCGAACCATTTTGGCTAGAATTACAAAATCCGAGTTTGTCAACTTCGCTCTACGCATAGAGTTTGTGCCCACCATGCATGGTGTACGAAGGACAGTGGAAAGATTGTGTTGTCTAGTGAGTTAGAGTGCAGGGTAAAGTTTTCGAATGCGAGAGGGGCAAGGCGTTGGCACTCTATGTAGCAGAGTAAAGTGTGCAAGTCACAAAATGTGGAATGTTATTGTAATATTTGTGCTCAATTGATTGATACAACATTCTAGTTACATTTGATACCCACTTAGCTGAACATGAAGCTTAACAAAATCCAGTGTCATCCACTTTAAAAATATTATTGCCACCGACTTGCTTGACACCCAATTAACAGAAGATGTGAGCGACCAGATTCCAGTTACAAAATGGATAATATGTTACTAGTTCAAAGATCCCAAATCGCAGAATTCCGAAATCGAAAATTTATAGAACTTAAACTGATACGTGGATACAAAATTCGAGGAAAAGATTAGGTGTACGTATATGTCCATGTGTATGTGTATCGAGGGAAAAGGGGAGAGGGGGAGGGAGAGGGATAGGGAGAGGGAGGGGGGAGGCATCTGGAGTTCATCAAATTCAAAGAAAATCCGCCCTTTCTCACTAAATCAACAACAAGAAACCCCATTGATCAAGTCTTCACACATCAAATAATAAGCACCAAAAGAAACAGAAAAGAGGAGAATACATACAATTAAAACCCTTGTTTCTCTTCAATTTCTCGTACGGCTTCGATCTCCGGCTCCGAGTTTCAATTCTGGGTTTTCTGAAATTTTGCAGTTGAATTTTAGGTAAATGGACAGAGAGGAGAGAGAATCAGATTCCAGCAAAATATAGATAAACAAATTGGAACAGCCGAACGAAGTTTAGTACAACCTCGGCATAAATTTTCCGAAATGTTACAACTGAGAGCCAGCGGTGTGTAATAATTTTGGTGTACAAATGGAAACACCATTATTGCCTTCACACTGGGACATAGGTGCATTAAAGATTTGACTCTTCATTTTTTTCTTTTTCTTTTATTATTATTATTATTATTATTTGTAATATTATTTTATTAAAAAATATATTTTTTCAAATAATGTGGATCAAACGGGCCCTAATACGGCAAATATTGGATATTGTAGAGTATTTTTTTTTTTAATGGAAAACGGAAAGGTGACAACGAGGAATGTGGGAAAAATTAAAGAAATTTGTATTGTGAGGTGTCCTTACAAATTGCAGAAGTGTATGATTTTATAGTTAATAGAGTGACTATTTGTACTAGTACTTACTACTTAGATTAAAGTTCAATGACTTGATTGTAACTAATTAAAGTTTTGTGCCCCGATGCAAGTTAGGTAAAAAGTTTAGTAGTTTGAAAAAGATATTTTCTTTAATTTTTTTTAAAAATAAAATTTATTATTTACTGACTAAGTGACTAATAATTCTTCAATTAAGCTATTTGTACATTAACTTTGACATCCTTGTTGACAGATAGATGATGTTACAAGATTATAATAATTGAATTAAACGTGTAAGATGATTTTAGATTATGCCAAGTGTAAATTCAATAAATCAAGGTGTAAACTACAATATACATGCAGCAAGATTGATAATTCTTTGTAATCAATCTACCTCAGGGCGTGGACCCAGTTTGCTTACGGAAACAAGCCCCGTAAGCCCTTTCTGCCCACCCGGTAAACTTGTTGGGCTATACCCACCCGACAACCCGACTTATTTAGATCCATATAATTGCTGATCCTGGTGGTTTCTGTCGTTCACACCTCTATCTGTAAAAGTCGAATATCTCATCCTTAGTGCACGAGAAAATGGGCGGAGGAGGAGAGCACCACCACGTAGATGGGGCCCACGGCCACGGAGGAGACTTTCGGGCAAAGGTGTGGAGTATGTCGGGTGGGCCTTACTGTCGTCCAAAGCACTGGAAACGCAATACTGCTTTTGCCATGTTCGGCATCGTCCTTGTATGCATTCCAATCGCCATGAAATCTGCCGAGCTCGAGGTATTGGGTTATTGATCTTTTGGTATTTGAATGATTAATTGTGATCTGGAGCATGTGTTGGTTGACTCAATTTTTTATTAAGTTTTGATCTTTTAGGTTTAGGGTTTAGGTTTTGATATTTAAATTTTATTCTTCCGATTGTTTTGCTTTACTGAATTCTTAGGATGTGAGATGGAATGTGGTGTTTTCTCTTATGAATTGAGCGATGGATGAAATGAATGTCATTCAAGATTTTTTATCAATTTCATTATCAATAGGGTGAGAATAACTGAACTTTTGGTCACTGTGATAGGGACTTCTTTTTCAGTTTATGGGCTTAAGAATTAATTTATCATATGGTTTGAGGCTTTATAAAAGTATAGTGAGACTTTTACTGTGCAATATGCTAACTGCAACTCGTTGCACGGGTTTCTTCAATATCCTTGATTTTTTTCTGGGAAGGTTCCTTGTTGTATCTTTTTCTACCTTGTCGAAACAAATTATAAAATCTCCCTTAACTTTGGTAATATAATCATTTTCCTCCTGTTATCCTCTCTGAACAAAAATAAAGAAAGGTTTTCTTTATGGATTTTCATTCATTTTTCTTTGCTGAAACCAATAGCAAAATAGAACATTAATGCTTGTTTTGCTAGCTATAAGCAACTCACTATTAATATTGATGATGGATGATGTAATGAAGCTTTGGATTTTGCTTTCAGCACATTACATCCTACTAATTTCTTAGTAGAAATTATTTGGAAGGCAAAGGAAAAGACAGCAGATTTTACAATCTTTTTCAGAAAAAAAATCCATGTGCTTGTCTAAGACTGATAAAATGTCATTTCCCTTTTTACCTAATAGGGAAGTCTTTCATCTAGATTAACCTGTTCCAGAGTGATCCGAAGTGAATATCTTGCAATTTAGCATTGTTAGTGTTGTAATATGAGGAATAATATATGGCACAATATGAAATAAAGATCACAAACGCACAAGAACAAAAAGTTAATTGGCAGAGGAAAAGAGAATTCACTAAAATATGGAGAAAAAGGTACAAAGACTTCGTGTTTACAAATTTGTCTTACTTTTCGAAATTACAATGAAGAGCTAACTATATATAGGGACGTTTCAAACCCTAGAAATATAATTATAGACGGAAAAAAATGTTGAAAATGCGTCAAAAACGCGAAATGGGCCTGGATCAGATATATAGGCCACTCGAGTGCCATTTAGGCACTAGTGCCCCTTGAGTTCCAGGTGGATGGCAAGCGGGCGGCAGCTCGCTGTAAAGAATTTGATGCCACCGCTGTAGCGAGAGGCTAACTGCCAGCTAGCTGGAAATCATTGAAATTTTCTCCTTGATCCATATCTTGACTTCTTCAAGTCCAACACAAATTTTGAACTTCCAATTGAACTCCCAAATTGAATTTCAACTAGAATTGCCAAATAGACTTGAATAAAATCCCCAAATAGCATTCCAAATAGAATTTGGGTCACACCCTAATTCTAACATTTAGAACTTAGAGGATATACTCACTCTATAGAAATACCTCTTCTTGATTTTATTCCAACACCTTGCCCAGTATATCTTTTCTCAGGTGGTGAAAATTCGTTTACCCTATTTAAGACTCACGGAGTTACTACATCCTTCAACATCTGCTGTTGTCGTTTATCTTTCTTTTAACTACAAAAGAAATTTATTAACGTGAAGAAACATATAAATAAAAGATTTAGAGGAATCTTCAGTTACAGGTAAAGTAAAGTTTACCAGGCAATTTATCTCAACTCCTTCATCTGTCAGATCTTGTCCATCAAAGTTTGACTACTTAAGTCCTTAAGATTCCAAAACCACTCTTTTCCCTCCCATAAGGAGGAGTGCGACAATGATGCTGAGAAATTATTGTATTCTTCTCAATCCAATTGGATCAGTTACAGTAATCAAAGCACTTCTTAACAAGATTTTGCCTTTTTTGGATCTCCTGAAACCCCAAAATTTATGCAATAAGTTCTCCTCATATGTACATTCTGATGACATATAGACATTTGACTGGTGCTGAGGTTGTACAACTCTCATTTACCAATATTTAAGAGTTCGTTTTCTGCCTTTAATAGTGAAAAATGTGGTTCCTTCTGGTGCACGTGCTCTTAGTCTTGATTATTAAGTCATGCATAGTTTTCTAGCAAGATCTTTGCTGCTTACTGTCTATAGTGGAGGTATTTATAATAAGGCCAAATTAGGAACCTCCATTAGATTGAATCTATCAACATATTGTGGTTTGATTAGCTGATTCTTAAAAGATTATATGGTCTGAAGGAACTGGAACATTGTTCCTCCTCAAGGACAAATGCTTAAGAACAAGTATGTTTCTTGATAAAATAACTTTAAGTATGGATAACAATTTATATTTCATCTTCAGCGTGTTGAACCAAATCCTAATTAAGTGGGACTAACCTGAGAAAAAATTTTGAAGTTTGCAACTAGAAAGCTAATAAATCTTCTCCATGAACACCTTTTGATACCTTAGGAGAACAAATTTTTCCATAGAGAATTTTAGGTGTAATTTTTTTCTTTTTTTTTTTCTTTTTTTTTTTTGAGAATATCATTTTTTTGCTATTGTTTGATTTAATCATTCAAATGTTTTTAGTGCCTTGAGCCTTGCAGCAGTATTCACTTCAGCATCTGCTAAATTGCTTTCTTCCCAATGGAGAACAATTATGTTTGTTGTTATAGTACTTGTTTCATCAAGTATAATGCTTGTTATATGCCATTTACTAATAAGGCACTTTTTTGCAGCGACGACCACATCTTCCTGTTCGCCCCATTCCCTCTCAGCTCTGGTGCAAGAATTTTGGGGACAAGGATTATTGACATCACTTTTAGTGAAGCAACTTCAACAGTTAGCTGTCAAGCTGAGAACCACCCACCATTGTCTTGGGTATCAATATTTTATATGCGTGCCCTGTTTGATTGAATAAGAAACAACTTGGTTTGCTTCATTTGTAGGTTTTTAAATTTATGATAGATAATGTTGCTGATTCCTGTGTAGTGCTACATCGAAATAGTGAGTTCTACAAGTTTAAATTGCGAGTAAGTCGTGCTTCAGCACACCTTTTGTATTGTCACATTGCAGTTTCTGAGTACTGTTCCCAAAGTGAAGTTGATAGTTAATGAAATGTTGGGTTTTGAGTTTTAATTTTTTTCTTCAAGATTATGTTTTTGATTGATGAAGTTGGTAAATGAGTCCTTCCATCTCATCATCTCATCGTGACTATGAATTGACTGAATAAGGAGATGAAATCAAGAAAAAGATGGAAGAATTGAAATAACGGTTTGGAACCAAGAAAGGGAAGGACAAAATTCTTATGGTTCACAAAGATTCAGTGGATAGAAATGAAAATGAGATATCGAAGTAGTTCTGATGATTCCATAATATTATTACTTTTCGAAATAGTTCTAATGATTCGATAATATTATTACTTTAATTCGAAGTTGTGTTAGTTACTTCGATTTGATGAATCCTACCGACCAACAAGCATTTGTATGCTTGTCAAGGGCTAGGTTTAACTAATCCCATATGAAGTTTGTGATGCTAGTTGGCTACTTGTATTGGAGATCAGGATAAAATGCATGCGAGACCTACTCAGATTGGGCAAGCGTGTCTCCTGTTCCTTATCGAACAAAATTCACTGGACAAATTAATTCCACTTGGTTACCTAAATGTGAAATAGGAATATAGTCTACAGATTAATCTTTTTGTGAGAAATTGCAATTAACTTGACCTTGAGAGTACGACACGTTAGACATGAAACAGTACGAGTGTCATTCAGACAAGAAACATCAATGTCTAGTGTAAATTCGAAAAGAATAATGTCTGTTTATAAGCATGAGTGATGTTTGTCTACTTTGTCTAGGCGACCATCTTAATTGGTTGAAAATTGAAAAATACAATTAATTACCAATTGAAAATAGAATCCACAGATCCACCAAAATTTGTTCCCCGGTTGTTATAAGTAGTAGTATTATTCGAAAATCTAAAATTATTTGAAATAATAATAGTGAAACATATCTTTAATAGTAAACAACTACAATTAAAATTCTCAAATTTAAGCAGTAGGGTGGGATGGTCCTTCCCATCCGATGACGTTAGGAACTCAAGACAGGAATTAAATAATGGATAATTCTACATGTATATTATGGTATTCATAAAGATGTCCATAATTTATATGTAGAATTCCACGATTGGAAGATTGAAAAATCTGTTTTTCAACTCTCCAATGATATATGCCATTTGTATATATCATTTTGTTTATCATTTTGTATACTTACTATTTCTTATTTAAGGCCCCGTTTGGTAGCCTTTTTTTTTCAAAATGCATTTTTCTCTCTTCTTTTCGACCACACATTCTTTATTAAAATAATATTACACGTAAATAAAAAACTTTTCCTTATTTTTCAACCACACATTTCATATAAATTTACTGTTCTAAAATACATTTTTACATAAAAATATCTATCAAACACCATATATATATATATATATATATATTATAAACAAAAATAAAGAATATAGTCAAGGTGGGGACTATGTTTCCATGCTCGTCCTTGATTACTAAGGGTTTATTCAGTAGTGATTATAAAAATTGATTTTTTGAACGATAGAGTAAAAAAGTGGATTTCATCTGCGAGAAAAGTAAAAAAATGATGATTGAAATAGGGAAATAACGATCAAAAATTGATTTTTGAGGTGAAAAATTACAACCAAATAGGGGCTAAATAAGATAGCAAGGGAGGAGAGCGACAGGACAAGATCAAGTAAGTTTGCCAATCATATGAATTTTTTTAATAAAAAATAGAATGAACAACATGGGACGGGATGAGACAGGACGAGGCTAGATTATACAGAATTTTTACAAACTATAAATTTTACAGCCACCGCTTTACTTTAAAAACTTCTAGGAATTTTTTTCTTTTTTTTAAATAAATAGTGACGTACTCAGGAGGGCTTGAAAGTTCTGTCGCCATCCAGTTCATCCCATTACTAGATCATTCTAAAGAATAACGTTAAACTTTTAAATCTGAACTTGAAGATCAACTGCACTTTCTCCATGATAATAACGACGACCTTTGTTAGACGAAGGGAAAGGTCACAACCGGAAGCGAAGCCGATACGTTTTTTAAAACTCCGCTATCGGCCACCGGTGATTTCGGCGGAGCAAATTCAATCAAAACAAGTTTCACGATATCGAGAAACGAAGAGACACAGAGAGAGAGGGAGGGAGAAAATGGTGACGTCGCCGGTGGTAAATACATACCCTCTGTCGAGCTATACTTTTGGTACCAAAGAGCCAAAGATGGAGAAAGATACCTCAGTTGCTGATCGTCTTGCGCGAATGAAAGTCAAGTGCGTTACAGTACGAAGTTTTAATATTATTTTAAAACCCTATATCCAAGTAAGTGTATCTATGGCTTTTTATGCCTGAACTTCAATTTTGATTGATTTCAAATTGCGCAGTTACATGAAGGAAGGCATGAGAACTAGCGTTGAAGGGATTCTATTGGTATGTTTTTACGATCAACACATGATTTATTTGTATGAAACATTCTGACTAAATACTTGCATTTGCTGAAGTTGTATTTTTGAGAATATAGTTTTGATTTTTGATTCATTGGTTCTCTTTAGAATTCTGTAGGCTTTGCCTTTTCTCATTAAAAGCTTAAGTGTTATTTTGCGGAGATTATTTGACATGGACAACGTTATTTAAGCAGTGGCCAATTAATATAGACATGTAAAAAAACTAGTGAGGAATTTTGTGCCTTTAAAACCATCTATATATAAGATTAGCTAATTGGGCTTGATTAAAGACTTGTTTAAAAAGATAAGTAAAGTAAGTTCCTATTCAATCTGATATAGTTATGATGTCACTCGGACGATCCTCATGTCTCTGTGCTGAGTATGGATGAGGGAGTCTTTTCTTGTCCAGATTTCAGATTAAGTGATTTGAAATTTTATTTTGTTGATGTATACTGTTGCATACATTCTGATTTTGCTAATTGGCTATGGCCTTTTCGTTGCTATGTTACTCTGGAGTGGCATAGTGATCCCCAAATGTTTATGTATCAGCATAGCTTTTCTAATGTTAAGAATGGATGCAATATGGAAACGCCTTGATTCTGACATTACTACAGAGAATGTTTGAAGTGACAGGTGTTTCGAAATTTGAATTATTCCAGTTATGTTTCGTTTCTTTTACAATGGTCGACAAAAATGGTGCACTAATAATTATGTCATATGAAGTTGATCCAAGTATTTTTTTTTTTTTTTTTTTTTTGGGTTGACTACACTAACTCCTCCATTAGCAAACATGGGAAGGCATAACAAACTTGGCTTGCATGCTATCTTTATTAGAGGAAAAAGGTGGAAACAATGATTTTTATTTTTTATTTTTTATTTTTTTTGGAGATGTGTATTATATCAATAGTTTAATTTGTAACCATGATTAAAGCATGTTTGGGAGTTTTTTACAAACAGTTTAATTATAATTAGATAGAAAAGAGAGGATAAGTAGATAGTACTTGTGGGTCTCACAAAATATGGATAAAATGTGGTTTGACAGTTTAGAAACAACTTATAAATGGTAGTCTTAAACATGGGCTAAATTTAGCTCATTTTCAGCCTATCAAGAATTATACAAAACAATAATTTCTCAAATTATCTATGTACAATCTCTACGTTCATGTTCAGGTGTGAGTTAATCTTGTTCACAAATTGTTCCAATCATGAGCTAAGTTTAGCTCATTTTAAGCCTGTTAGGAATTATAAAAACAATATTTTCTCAACTTATCTATGTTCAGTCATGTTCGGGTGTAAGCTAATCCTGTTCACAAATTGTTACAATCATTGCTACCGATTAAATGTACCATTGATCCAACAGCGAAATAATTAAAAGTGTACTCAAAGTGATAGACTCGAAAGAAGTAGAATTTGAATTAATCTAGATTTGAGGAGTTTTATATGTGAAGGATTTTTGATATTATCTCAATGTTATCTTTTTACATGTTTGTTTAGATTCAAGGTCTTTTCTCTATATAAAGGCGCTTAGGTTTTAGTTTATAGACACCCTTGAATATATGAAATAAATTGATACTCTCATGTCCTAAATTCTTTCTTGAGCCCTTTTTCTTTCTCGTTCCTTTTCTGCTTCAATTGTTTCGTTGTTAAATTGTTATGTTCGTCGTCAACCATACAACTGCAATTAAAAATTGATAGACATTATTGGGGGTTTATGCAACTAATATGATAAGTTCCATTATGTGCCTCTTTCACTATTCAAGGCTACCATGGAGGCTTCAATTTTCAAATTTATTATATTTCCTCACTCTTCCTTCTATTTTTCAGCAGGATTATCGTGAAAAATTATTTGTCCATTTCTAATAGTGGCTAATTAGATAATATTGTTCGATAGGTACAAGAACACAATCATCCCCATATACTTCTTCTGCAAATCGGAAATACTTTCTGTAAACTCCCAGGCGGCCGGCTGAAGCCAGGAGAGAATGGTATAATATTTTACTTCCACTTTTAGAAGTCTGAATTGCTACTTTTGCTTGGTTTTCTAACACTCCCTTAAACCCCATTCAGGCTGCCTTGCTGTGGTGAAAAAAAGAAAAGAATAGAGGAAAATGCAGCTGGACTTGAACTTTAATTGAAATATCTTTGTTTTTCTTATTCTGTACTTATTTTCATTTTCGTAACATATTTTTGTAGAGATTGAGGGCTTGAAAAGGAAACTCTCTAGCAAACTTGCTGCTAATGCGCCTTCTCTTCAGCCAGATTGGCAGGTAATGTTTATTTAAGAGTCGTCTGTCTGAGAACAAGTTCCAGGTAGACAATGTCCAGTAAGATTGTAATGTGGGAAGTATAGTTTGCTGCTCTGCGAATTGTTTAGAGAAAAGGAATGTGTGATAAGATGCAGACAACTAAATTCTATCTCAGATTGTGATATATGTGGATGCATATGTCTTGAATTTAAGGTTGAAGACCCTATGTATTTATGTTATGTTCTTACGTGAGGGATTATGATCTTTGGTAGACCTTGTCTCGTGATCTTTCTCCTAGTTTTTTATAAATATATCCTTTATTTTGCCTTATGTGATGCTACATTTTTGTGTTGGCAACGATCATTTCAGATAGGTGAGTGCGTGGCTATATGGTGGAGACCAAATTTTGAGACTATAATGTACCCTTATTGCCCCCCACATATTACAAAACCTAAGGTAAGATTAATTTAAAATATAATTTAATTGCAGTAATACTCCATAAGGACATTTTTTGTATTAATCAGTGCTTTCTGTTCTTGTTAATGCAGGAGTGCAAGACGCTTTTCATGGTTCACCTATCTGAAAGAGAGTACTTCGCTGTGCCAAAAAACTTGAAACTTCTTGCTGTTCCATTGTTTGAACTCTACGACAATGTTCAGGTATGATGGATATTCAGTAGCTCTTATCAAAATAGTTCTATTAGCAGTTCAATTACCGATTAGAAGGGCTGATGTATTATGTGCAAACTAATATAACTCACAATAATTACAGTTGCTTTCCTTTTGCTTATTGGTCTGTGTTTTATTTGTGCTTTTTTATTTCCTCTATGATCTACCTAACATAATGGTAGCATTACCCCCTCCCCCCAAAACCACCACCGCCACAAAAAATTAAAAATAATAATAGCAATAACAAAAATATACTAAAAGCCTCTTTGTTGGCATTATATGGTGAAGGTTGACAATCATCTCAACAAGGTAATCTTATGATTCTTACGAAGAACTTCATTGCGAATGGCAGAGATATGGACCTGTTATATCCACCATCCCACAGCAGCTGTCCAGGTTCCACTTCAACATGATCCATTCATGAATAGTCATGGACCTCCTAGAGCTCATGCAAGGATAAAGTATTGCTGGATGGTTAGAATTGAGTCCTGTCCAGGTCCAAAGTTTCACTGACGACTGAGCAAATACTGCATATTATTGTTGATCATTTTTCCTAGAGTAGACAATTTGAGCGTAAAGTTTCTTACTTTAACTTATGATATTTCTCTCTCCTTACTGTAACTGTAGTAGCAGTAGCTTATTAAATTCGTCCCTTTTTCACTCATGTTGCTTTATAAAGTCTATGTTTACTACTTGTGGGCTTCTTCCGACGTCATGTTAGGAACATGATCCATTGTAGCCTTTTGCTGCATGGGATATATATTTTAAGAATTGTTATGGGTCTATTAGGTACTTTGGCATGTTCAGATTTGTTACTTGTATTCACGAAGGTTTTAATTTAAAAAAACAAAAAAAATAGTTGTCACCTTAGGGTTTGGCTGATTTTGTGTGTATCAATGACTTCACAGATTTATGACATTCTTATGTTTCAAATTTTTTAGATGGCTACCTTTCATTACTGTTATTACAAAGAATCGATCTTGAAATGAAAATATAAGCCAACAGGAAGAAGTGGCAACGATTGACAAATCATGTTTTGTACAGCTAAAGAGGTTTCAGTTACTAGTGACACGATCTCAATAAAATAAATTAGAAGAGACATGACTTGTCTTGGTTGCAAGGATATAGGTGCTTTATATCTTCAAGGAGATTTGATAATGAACTCAGCAAAAAAGGAATTATGAGCCAATTATAAATTATTTAAGAACATGTTTTTCATTTAAATCAAATCTTAAGTACATGCTAGGAATTTACAGTAACATTAGCAGGCCTAAAATAGCCAATCTATAAGTAGTCATCTTTATGGATTAAGCTGATCCATAAAAGTAGAGTAGCAACTGCAAGGATTATACCTATTGGTATCCATTTCAGAGCAATAATCTGTGGAATTAACACCAAAAAGAGGGAAACTATATTACATCTCCAAAGTTAATGCTACATAGTTCTGTTGCATGCTAAATATCGCTAGAATTTATATGCAAAACTTTGTTAATTAAGCATACCTCTAGACTTTTGGAACCCCAGATTGGAGAGACATTTAGATGTGCATTGCTTATCCTCTCCAACATTTCTGATAATAAAACAAAATACAAAATTATACAGTCGTTGAATAATTTACAATGAACTCTGCTATATATACATTGATTTTGTACAGATAGGTTAAAGGTGGCATGCACCTGACAAATCAACGTGCATCTGTCAAACTAGTTGTAGAAAATCAATGTACAACTAGTTTAATTGATTAACAATAGTTTACGTTTTTAAGCGAGAATAGTTGAGAAGTTAACTAATCACCCTTATTGTCGCTTTGTTATATTGTTTCAAGTTGGATAATAAATCGATAAACTTACCATATCTTCGTCTCCGTTTTACTATTTGTGAAAAAAATTCTGATGCGGTATTGTCTGGTTCTTGGGAACGCGCTACATTCAGCTTTGATAAATTTGCCTGTGTCCTTGTATCTTCATATTTTCTTTGAACAATTCCAATGATACCATCTGCAGGACTCGAGAGGAAAATTACAAACTTCGTTATATGATCTTTCTTCGACGTTATTCAGTCGAACAACGTACCAAACATGTCCTATATTCAACTGAATTATAGTGCAGGAAATTACTGAATTTGATGAAGCTATATGGCTTTGTAATTCTGCCTGTGAGTCCCACATGAAACTTGTCAAATTCCTTGTGCAGGTCTTGTAGATAATGGAAAGCCAGCCTTCTTGGATAGGCTGAGTCACAGAGTGCCATGAAGCAAACTCCATTCTCAACAATATAACTGAAAATCAAATCCAGATGAAAAATAAAAACATTAAAACACTATGAATTTGCAAATGCTATAAAAATTTCAAGAAAGTGTAAATTAGTCAAGTGCAGGTGAAAATTTTGACGCTGAAATGGATTATATTCAATTTTTAGATAAGTAAAAACTTGTGGATGAATGGCTATATTACAAGTAAGAAATCACGTGTTTAATAATAAGTGGTACGAGATTATATCAAATAAAGTTTTTCAAGTCTATATTACTCGTTAAGTCCTAGTTCTCTTCCGAGAGCCATAATAAATCGAATGAAATAATTAGGGGAAAAAAAAGGACAAGCATTTGTTTATAGTGGGCAATCGTGAATGAGTGAACTTGTGGTCGAAGAATTCTAGTTCCATAAATAAAATCAGATTCCTACATTACGATAACCTACTACATGCATGTATGGTACATAATATTATTTGACAATTCGGATATTCTAAGTGGTCACACATTCAAGGAAAGATGAGACCTTGAGCAAGTAAAGGCAAATACAAATACAATTTAGAGAAGAAAAGCATACTTGAAACAATAAGAATTGAGAAAAATGGTCATCTTTGAAGTTGACAAGGCTCCTCTTGAGATTTCTTTGAGTATGAACTCTCCTTGTTGCTTGTAAGTTGACAAGTTATCATTTTCTTGATTCATATAGGTTGGACCTTCAGCAAGAGGCAACCCATCTTTCACCCTACCAACCAACGTAAGCTTCACCATAATTACTTAATGAATAAGAAATAATTCAATTAAAATCAGCTTTTTGGGTAGTAAATATATGTAAAGAATGTTAATGATGGACGGGTAGTGAGAGAATTGCATTTATAGGACTAATGGGAGAAGGAATAAGAAAATGAGAGACGAAACGTGGTGATCAAGTAATTCCTTCTCTCTCTCTAAAACATCAACTTTACGCGGTGGAGGAAGCAAAAGGTAACTTTAAGTGGAACCCACAAAAATGAGCATATATGTATATCTTGCATTTATTTTTCAAAATTTTAGTTTGTATTATTAATAGTAACAATAAATATACTAAAGATTTGATTGTGAAATATATCAACTTTGGGTGGACTATATGACAAATGCAGACATTTAAGGGGTACAATTAAATTTGCAAAAAAAATTATGAGGAATTTTACATTTTAAAATTTACATATGACTTTTTCGGATGTAAAATTTTGAAAATTTTCGACGTCATACTCCATGTAAAATTTTCTAATAAAATATGTAAATTATATGAAGAAATTTGTCGTAAAAAAAGTAAACATTAAAAAAAATAACTGGAAATTTTTAAAGAAAAGATGAGTTACACACCTCTTTGTAAGATGTACATTTGACACATCTTTAACTATTATCGATATCTGTTTAAACCATTCGAAATGTCTATGATGTAGTTTTCAAAACTAGTTTCGAAATGATGTAAACTATTTCAAAATTCGGCTAGCGTACGATCATCGAAAAAATTTTAAAGTTAGCATGTTATCGAAATTTTCGAAATATTAGTTTGGAACAACCAATTTTGACTAGCCGTAATATTTGCTACGATTGACTTTTTCGCGCACCATTAATAGAAAGTTAGGTCGTAAACACTTTGAAATGGTATTATGAATATCACATTTCATTTTCGTATGATATCCCATAATAATCCCAAAATAAAAATAAAAAATTGCCCAAAAGTTGGGGGTCACATGACCCCATGCCACCCTCATGTATGCTACATTGTTAAAAATAAAAACCAAGGCAAGTTGAGAAGAAAATGGTTAGAACATTTTCAATGGTGGTGTAAAATTGGGTATAAATTATTATCTTCAAAATCACTTTGGCATCCTCATTTATATATGGTGGGACCTAAATTCAAATTCTGATATAATTAAAAGTTGTAAATCTGTATTTTGCCCCTTCTGAATGTAACAAATGTATATATATACATTTTCTATTCAAAAATACAATTTGCATCTCCTTTAAATTTATTCATTGGAAAGACTTTCGACTACTTTGAAAATCTAAATTTCTATTTTGCGCCATAGTTGGAGATGCTTTTATAAGGTGCTTAAAGTAATTCGGGTTGTTCGAAAAAGTTTGCATTTTGCAGTACATGTGCAGTCATGGGCCATCCCAAGAAACAACACTAGGCCCAAAAACAGTCACGACCATAGCTATGTTAGCTGATAAATAAATAAATTTATTTCGTAGTGAAACATCAAAAGAAAAATCTTTTATTAAAGTTTTGCAATAAACTTTTGCAAAATGCCAAAATATTTTGACCAATCGAGTGGCCAATGGCTATGATACATGGAAAAGGAAGGTGTTTGATATTAATCTTATCAAATTCAGGTTAAATGTCATTTTCGTCAACGAGAAATTCAAACATCTTTTTGTCGGATTAAAACTACCTATTAATAAATTCACCTAAAACGAATGACCAAAACATGAGAAGAATAAGGTCTTAGATGCTAGAGAATTGCTATACAAACATGGGCCTTCACCACATCAACCCTTCATTTGAAATTTCAAATTTCAGTCCACTTCAACCCTTGTCACAGGGCCTGTTTGAGTAGCAAATTTCTAGATGCTAAGCTACAATGGAAACCTCCAAAAAGCTAGGCTAGCGTATTCATTTCAAACAAGCAGGGAACACTCACTCTAATTGAGGTTGGAACTTTTGGGTGAGGGGTGGAGAAAGTCTGTGATAATAGTGAAAAAGCATAGAATTCTTATGACGTGTGTCACAAGAATTTCTCATTTTAGTGCTTGTTTAACAACCGTTAATTTATTTTATGGGTTGTTACAAGATAAATTTCAATCACATATTTATACAATAAAATATTCTACACATATATCAAAAACTTTTTACTGATTTTAACAACACATTCTCTTAAAAATCACTATTGAAAAACTCTTTTTCTTCTACAATAATGGCTGTCGAACAAGCTCTTACTTGAATAACATGAAAATTTGAAGGTAGAGTGGACGACTGTGATAATGGTTTCTATTATTGTGAATACTAACAATCACCACGCATTCGTAGTCTATGTTGGAAAATACGGATAATGGGTCGCCCATGTGGGGTGACCCGATTCGCAAGATTTTAAAAGGGTTAGGAAGGAATGTTTTGAATGGAATTTAAATCCATAACTTCCCCAACTCCCAAGATAACTACTTGCAACCTCCATATAGGAGTTATAAAAAAATGCAAAAAAGGATGGCATGGAAAAATGGTGAAAATTCATATGAAAATTCACACCAAAATTAGAAAGTCTCTAGAACCATATTTTTGGCATAAAATCTCACAAAAATGGCACTAGATTGTGGATAATAATCTCCTTCCATTGTAATTGGGATTAGGACCATTGGAGAACAAGAAAATGCAGATTTTGGAATTTTGGAATGTAATGATTCAACCACACAAAAAGATATTGAAATTCATCATTTCAAGTGAGTTTCTTGACCTTTCATGTCAAAATATGCTGCAAATTCCTACATTAGTA